TCCCCAAAGGAAAGGGAGAGACAAGATAATAGTTGAAGTTCTAAATTTGAGGAAAACTATAAACCCACAAAGGTTCCTAGATGGCACAAATGGTTTGTGTCCTCTGCTAACCTAAGGTTAGTGGTTTACACCCACACAGTGGCGCCATGGAAGAAAGTCCTAGCAATCTGCTTCTGTAAAGATTTACAGCCAAGAAAGCCCTATGGAGCAATTCTACTGTGTGACACAGAGGTCTCCATGAGTCAGAATCAACTCAACAGCAACCAGGTTGATTTTGGTGTAAAGCCTACATCTAGAAGCTTAATGAACCCCAGGCATAAGATGCGTGAAGAAAACTACCCCAAGACATAGCATAATGGAATTGCTTAAAATCAGCAGTCAAGAGAGAAACCTTTAAAACAGCCAGAGGAAGAAAAAAACATTATAGACAAAAGAACAAAGATAAGAATGACAGCAGACTTCTCATGGGAGTAATGCAAGTGAGAAACTGTGTAGCAATATCTTTAAAGAACTGAAAGAAAAAATATATCAATCTAGAATGATATGCCCAGCAAAAATGTATTTCAAAAATTAAGGCAAAATCAACACTTTTTCAGATATAACAAAAGCTGAAAGAATTTATCACCAACAGACATCCACTATAACAGATATTAAAAAAAAAAAAAAAAAAAAAAACTCAGGATGAAGGAAAATGATACCAGTTGGAAATCTAGATCTAGTAAAAGGAATAATAATAATAATAAACCATTGCCATCAAGCCAGTTCCAACTCATGGAAACCCTAAAGGGCAGAGTAGAACTGCTTTTTGGAGTTTTCAAGGCTGTAGATCTTTACGGAAGCTGACTGTCACATTTTTGTGAAGCAGGTGATGGTTTTGAACCTCTCATTTTTTGGTTAGCCACTCAGTTCTTAACCACTGTGCCACCAGGACTCCGGCAAAGGAATGAAGAGCACCGGAAATGGCGATTATGTGGGTTAAAAAAAAAAAAAAGCTATGACAGCTCATTATACCTGCATTAGCCCAGGCAGAGGAACCACGATTCTGAGGACTCTAACCAGTCTACAGTCTATCCACTCTGCTTGAATCAAGCCCCTCAATGATCCCTCTGCTAACTTCAGCACTTTTTAGAGGTAAATATTATGTAATTTGGTGTTAAACCAAATTAATACAAGTAAAGCAAATTTCAGTAATTTTTCCTGTTTGGTAAGATGACCTGTTGTATTGACTCTTGGTGGGCTTTCCAAGTTTCAGCTTATTAGTTACCATCTTCACTAGGCTGTATTTTTGGAAGAAGAAAAAGAACAGAGAAGCAGATAAGGGAAGAAACAAAAACATTTGTGGTAGAGGTCATGTGCCAAATTTCAGTTTGTGAAGTGTTTGAAATCTTGTTTTATGACTCTCAAAGTCAAGCTTAGTTTTGTTCCACTATTAGAATATCAAAGTTGGCAGAATTGACTTTCTTAGGTAGCTTTCCTAAAATCTCTGCTCTTGAAATCAGTGTTTCTTGTTATAAAGACTTAGTTGTTTTTTGTCCCTGTATGAGGGAAAAAAAAAAAAATTAGAAGGAGCCTGTCATCTTCCTTCATGTTTCTGCCTTGGAGGTCTTTGGAGTCTTTCTTTGTTCTTAATGAAAATCAAAATGTCTTTAAGCTAGCTGACATCAGTTGTTTCCGAGATCCTACTTTGCTGATCGTAGCTGTCAGAGCGACCTTATGTATAACAAAATGAAACGTTGCATTACCCTGTGCCATCTTCATGATTGCTGGTATACCGGAGCCCATTGTTGTGGCCACTGTGTATTTTGAATGTCTTCCAACCTAGAAGACTCCTCTCTCAGCCCTGGATCAGTCAATATTCTATTGTAATCTGTAAGTTTTCATTGGCTAATTTTCAGAAATAGATCACCAGGGATTCTTCCTAGCCTGTCTTAGTCTGGAAGCTCCCCTGAAATCTGTCCACCATGGGTGATCCTACTGGTATATTAAATACCAGTGACGTAGCTCCCAGCATCACAGCAACACGCAAGCCACCACAGTACGACAAACTAACAGACACTAAACTACTTTAAAATGAATTACCTAGAATTGCTAAGTAAAATGATTTTACATTTAAAATTGCTAAATTGCCCTTTCTAAAGGTTATATGAGCTCTGGTAGCATAGTGGCTAAGGCACTTGACTGCTAACCAGAGGGCTGGCGGTTCAAACCCACCAGCCACTCCTCGGAAGGAAGGTTGGGCAATCCTACTTCCGTAGTGATACTGCCTCGGAAACCCAAGGAGGGGTCGCTATGAGTCGGGGCCGACTCGACGGCAAATAACAACAACAACAACAACAAAGGTTATATGAGTTGATAGTTTCACTCTTAGTGAATAAAAGTTCCTGTTTCCCCAGTCCCTGATCAGAAAGTCCTTAATCAAACATTTTTAGTGTTTGCCAATCTGACAGGAAATAGTATCACATTGTAATTTTGATTTCTATTTCTCTAAGTGAGGCTGATTATATCTTTAGGAAGTATTTGTCTTTCCTTTTTTGAATTAATTGATTATTCATATCCTTTTGACTTTTCTGAAGGGTAGCTGATTTCTTTTTCCTTAATTATAGAAGCTCTTTATATATCATATGTATATATGAGATGAAATAGAAGCATTTTTCTCAGTTATGTTTTCTGGTTTTATTTTAGTCTTTGACTTTGATTAGGGTGTGTTTTCTCTTTAATCATGCAGAATTTTAAAATTACATGTAGTTAATTTGTCCATCTTCTTTTTCATGGATTATGTTTTGTGACATACTTAGACTTTCCTCATGCCAAGGTTATAAAAAAATTCTCCCACATGTTACTCTAGTACAAGGTTTTGGATTCTTTTTCCCCATTTAACTCTTAAATCCATCTGGAACATATGTTTTGTGTAAAATGTGAGGTATGAATCCACCTTCTTTTTTCCATATGGCTAAGAACTTTCCTCCAGTGGTCGTTTGAAATGTCACTTTTTATACTGTGTTGTCTTGATTAAAGCTATTATTCAAGATGTTGCCTCAATTAAGAAACATTTTAAAGGTTAGGTTTAATTTTTTTTAAGAGTGGTAGTCAAGTGTACAGGGCAGCGATTTCCCAACTCTTGCGTCATCTATTAGAATTTGGTCAGAGCTCTAGCCTCCTTCCCTCTACAACAAATCCTGCTATAGTAAGCTGCTATCACTGAGGGGAATGTATCTGCCTCCAATGTGTTGGGCCAAAAAATCGTTTTTAACTTTTTATCTAGGGATTTCCCCTTAGAGTGAGCCTCATCTTTCACACAGCCATATAAAATTTACCTGGTAGGAGGGATGTATCTAATAACTTCAGGGTAGTTGCTTTAATGAGAAAAGAGCCCTAGCGAGTCTTGAAGTAAAGTGAGAGCCTTTCCAAAGAAAATGAGACTCTTCAATTTTGAGTCATTAATTATTAATAAAATTCACAATTTTACCTTGGTCAGTTTACTTGAGTGGACCATATGCCTGCCATCTAGGGAAAGTCAGTCTTGAATTGGACTATATTATGACTGTATTTTGGCCGGGGTCCAAGGATAAGGGTCATCCCTTTTCATTCTAAACTATTTAAAATCAGAAAAGAGTATGGCCCTTTAAAAAGTAGAATTCTGAGGATACTACTCACTATAAAGGTAAGAGAGTTCTACCCATGGGGCTAGAGGAGAAAACCTGTCTGTCTGGTAGGTCTCCTGATGCCACTGACTAGAGGATGGGTCCACACCACCTGGATGCTACCCCCCAAGGAGCATTTTTTCAAATCAAGTGGTTTACCGGCTTATTTGATTTGGTTGGGGAGGATGCAGAATCACTTTAAAGTTTATCCAATACTATAAAAGTGTTCTTTCGTTTGGACTTTGGACTACTCAAGAAGTAACTTGTCACTTTGTGGTAGCAAATGCTGTCTGTGCTTGAAACTCCTAGTGGCAGTACCACCTCAGTGGAATGAAAGGTATCGATTTCCTTTCTTAGAGTTTATTTGTCAACTGTTAGGGCATCTCATCAAGTAGAGGAACTAAGTAGAGGCTTAAAGAAGTAAGAGAAGCTAGGAATAGTTGTGAAAGTGTTTTTGTTGGGTATGGCTATTTTTCACCTTTATTTTTATTTGTCTGCACCAGAGATTGTTGGACACTTTAAAAAATAAATTTCCAAATGATACAGTGAAATTACATTAAAATGGAATGCAGTAAAGAAATAATATCCACACTAGAGGCTTAATTATACCTCAAAATTGACTAATTTGTTCCACTCATTGAGATGTCTGGGAGACAAGCCCATGGTATGAGAATCACTAATATAAACCTACCATATTAAATATCATAAGGATTTGAGGAAGACTTTTCACACAAATTTTTATATACATATCTATTTGGTGGTAGTTTATTTTTCCTATTTTTTCCTTCTTGTCCCATTTCTCTTCAAAAGTTAGGTTATGTTAGAACAGTTGTGTTAGCATGCCCTTGAGTATCTCCCCAGTCTGAATCCTAAAAAGCAGATTTCACTTAGCCATCTGCCCCTCTCTCTGTTTCAGCCATGACATTACCTTTTGATAAGGTTTTCCCGCTCATTCTTTATCCTTCCTTAGCCATCTTCTCTCCCCTCCATTGTGGCTCTGCTCAAATAGATTGTCATCTCCCCGATCATCCAGCAACTGAACTAATTCACCCAACAACAGGAAGGTCCCACATCGGGGGATACTTACCCTTTCCAGACTTTTCCTGAGGAAAGCAAGTTTCCTTCCATGTGGCAGGGTGAATTTTATGTTTGTTTGGCCTTGTGACTGATGATAGACTGGGCAGTTTAGGAGAACTGGGGAGGAGGTGGCAGTTTTAACAGAGAAAAAACATTTAGTCGAGACTATCCCTTCTGCCTCCTTTGGGCGTGTTCCTCTTCTGGGCATCTCTTCAGGATTTTATTCCTCCGTCCAACTGCCGCTCACAACTGCCCTTTCCAACTGCTCCAGAGCTCTTGGCTCTGGCATTCCGTGATGTAAATTATTCCACGCATGGTTCGAAATGGGTGTGAAGCAGTGTTGCCAGGTGTCGGATCACTAGTGTAAGTTTACCAGATCTCGGGGGAGGGAGGAGAAAGGGGGAGAACTCACTCTTGGAATTTGTACAATTGTTCCTGTTTCAGCCACAGCACAATAATTGAGCTGGCCAAGCTTGATGTTATCGATGGCTAAGGAAAGTGGGAGCTCAAGGCTCCGAGATGGGGTGGGTTTTTGGTTGAGGTTTTCTTCTTTGAAGATTCTAGTGTTGGGATATAGAGTGTTTGGAATCGAACAGCTAGCAGTCTCACTGCAGGGGAGGAAACCAGGACCTACAGGACAGACTCTGGAGCAGTACTGCCTGGGATTATCATGCCTCTTTTTTGTCTCAAAATGTAGAGGGAACTGGCTTCCATGTTTTCCTCAAGATAGCCAGAATATGGCAAGAAATCTTTTCAGATTGCTCACCATGTTTAGAAACATCCAGTTGCAAAGTTGAAAGACCTCTGTAGCTATGAGATCTTTACTAAAACAAAAGTCTTGTTTCTCCCCTTGTTTATGAAACATTTTGAAAACGTTACAGTCATGGTTTATAGCACCTTTAGGGAATCTGCGTGTAAAGAAAATTGCCACCAACTACTGTTAATTGGTCTTGGTTCTTTTCTGACTTGTAAGTTAAAGATTTGTTTTCAGTAAAAACAATTTAAATTAAATACTTTATCCCTTGAATAACCACAACACCTTTTTGAAAATTGTGTTAATAGAAGAAAACCTCACATGAATTACACAGCTGTTTTATCTAGAAAAATATAAAGTATGTTGCGTTGATGCTGTTGCCTTTAATCAGCTTTGCTGAACTATGCTTTCCTATTCCTTTTCTTTCTAGTTGTCATGGATGATGATGATGACTCGTGTCTCCTTGATCTTATTGGGTAAGATGCTCCTTGAAACTCACGGTGAATCAGTGTGTGAGGTTTGCTGTATTAAGCCAACCTAATAAACATATTAAAGCCTGGTGGGTTTTAAAATAAACATCAAGTAATCACCATAGATATAGTAGAGAGACAGAGACATGGATTAGTAAGTAATAGGGGTCATGATTCAGTAATACTTTGTTAAATTTAAGGAGCCCTGGTAGCACAATGGTTAAGTGCTTGACTGCTAATTGAAAGGTCTGTGATTTGAACCTATCAGCCATACTACAAGAAAAAGATGTGGGAGAAAAATATGGCAGTCAACTTCCATAAAGATTACAGCCTTGGAACCCCTGTGGGGCAGTTCTACTCTGTCCAATAGGATCTCTGTATGTCATTGAGTCACAATCAATTCAATGGCAATGGATTTTGTTTTTTCGGTTTCTTAAATTTATTGTCTAACAAATCCCAGGAGGCAGAGATGTGTGATCATAGGAAATGGAACAACATCAAAACAAAATAAAGCAAAACACTACTAATAAAATTGTTTTGGAGATGGAAAAATTAGGGAGAGGATTTTATGAAAACTCATATGTCATTGACTTTTCACTCTAGTAAGAATTAACCCTAATTAACCATCTAGATGCAGCGACGGGTCTCTCCTCATCCAGAGCAAAGAATAAAGAAAAACAAAAACATATGGAAACAATTAGTCTGAGGGACTAGTGGACCATGCGATCCTCAGCCTATATGACCATGAGACCAGTAGAACTAGAAGATGCCTGGCTACCACTCTACAATCAACCATTCAGAAAAGGATCAGTATAGGAGATCCTGGATAGAGTGGGAGAACAATGTGGAACAAAACTCAAAATCATGGAAAAAAAAAAAAACAGGTTTACTGGTCTGATAGAGCCTGGTGAGACCCCTGAGCCTATGGCCCCTGAACTCACTCCTGTGGCTTCCAGCCAAACAATAGACAAGCATGTAGGGTGAACATTTATATCAGGTAGATATACTCCTTAGAGTGATCAGTCGTGGGAGAACAGAAGGGCAGTGTTTGCACAGGGAGATGGCTGTGGGGGCAGGAATGCAAAGGCAAGAAGAACACAGGGAAGAGGTAACTACAGGGAGGAAGTGGGAAGAGAGCTGTTACATTGTGGGGAATTGCGATGTCATGAAACAAAATGTGTATGAACTGCTGTATGGAAAATGAATTTGCTCTGTAAACTTTCACCCAAATCATGATAAAAATTGTTAAAAAAAAAATTAACCCTAAATATAAGAAATGTATTTATTTGTCATGTTGCCTCTGTTTTTGTTTTCTAGAGACCCACAAGCATTGAACTATTTTCTCCATGGACCTAGTAATAAATCTGTAAGTAATACTAAGAACATTACAGACATAAGTTTGGTTTCTTCTTTACAGTTGAAGTAAAGAAGGTGAAGTAACCACTTTGTTGAATGTGTACTTTTACAGAGCAACGATGACTTGACTAATACAGGATATTCTGCAGCCAACTCAAATTCAATTTTCGCCAACTCTAGTGTGAGTATTGGAAATTATAATGATCAAGTTTCTGTCTCATTGATGCCTTGTGAATTAAGGCTTTAAATGCCTTCATATGATGATGAGAATCCTTACTTTGTCCTTTGTAATTGACAGAGAAGGAAAATCTATTGACCTATGTCAATCTATGCCCATGTATACCTATTAACTTAGCCAATTAAGACAATATGAGATTTACTTTATCAATTTTTTAATAAGCTTTCAACTCTTTCTAAAATGACTCAGAAATGTTTTGACCTCAGAAAGAATTAGAATATTCTGAACCTTGCTTCATAAGCTTTAAAGAAATTACTTTTAATTATAGTTACTTATCATTTTCACATTAAACCAAAAAAAAAAATTATAATAATAACTGGCGCTAACTGAGCATTTAGTATGTGCTTGGCATTAAATGACTTAACATATATTAACTTCATTTAATCCTCACAATAATTCTATTAAGTAGGTTATAATGTATATTTTATACACGAGGAAACTAAAACACAGAGAAGATTATTCAGCTAGAGTTGCAGAGATAGGATTTTAACCCAGACCTCAAGGCTCAAGGTCCCCAGGTGGCATAAACTGTTTGTGCTTGACTACTAATCTAAAAGTTGGCAGTTCAAACCCACGCAGTGGTACTGCAGAAGACCTGGCTATCTGCTTCCATAGGATTACAGCCAAGAGCCCTATGGAGCACAGTTCTACTCTGTAACATATGGGGTACCCATGAGTCAGAATTGACTCAGCAGTAGCGGCTTTGTTTGTTTTTTTCCCAGGCTCTGGAGCCTATATCATACGCTCTAGAAACATCTAGACAGAAAACTGAGCTGGGTGTTGGGAGAGTCTCTCCTGGAGACTATATTCAGATGACTGTGTTTAAGCCTTAATCTATTCAACTACCTTGTTCTATCATGGATGGTAGCCTGGGGTTGGACAGCTCTGCCACTTACTGGCTGTGTAACCTTGGATATGTCACTAAATCTATGTAAAACTCAAATTTCCTCATTTATGAAACCAGGGAATTAATGAAACTACCTCAGAATAGTTAAAATTACTTGATTAATCCATGCAACCACCACTCATCTGTCAGTTTGTCAGACTGTGGTGGCTTGAGTGTTCCTGTGAGGCTGGAGGCTATGCCACCAGCATTTCAAATACCAGCAGGGTCACCCCTGGTGGACAGGTTTCAGTGGAGCTTCCAACTGAGACAGACTCAGAGGAAGGAAGGGGCCATCCACTTCTCAAAGAATTGGCCAGTGCAAATCTTATGAATAACAGTGAAACACTGTCTGATGTGTTACTGGAAAACTTTATGAATAGCCCTGAAACATTGTGCGATATAGTGCTAGAAGATGAGCCCCTCAGGTCAAAAGACACTCAAAATATGACTGGGGAAAAGCTGCCTCCTCAGAGTAGAGCTGACCGTAATGATGTGGATGGAGTAAAGCTTTCGGGACCTCCATTTGCTGATGTGACATGACGCAAAATGAGAAGAAACAGCTGCAAACATCCAATAATAAGCAGAACATGGAATATATGAAGTATGAATCTAGGAAAATTGGGAGTTGTCAAAAGTGAAATGGAACACATGAACATCAATATCCTAGACATTAGTGAGCTGAAATGGACTGGTTTTGGCCATTTTGAATCAGACAGCCGTATGATCTACTATGCCGGGAATGACAAATTGAAGAGGAGTGGCATGGCATTCATCATCACAAAGAATGTATCAAGATTTATCCTGAAGTATAATGCTGTCAATGATAGGATAATATTCATATGCCGAAGGTTGGGCAATCCTACTTCCGTAGTGATACTGCCTCGGAAACCCAAGGAGGGGTCGCTATGAGTTGGGGCCGACTCGACGGCAAAAACAACAACAACAACAACAAGGAAGACCAGTTAACACTAGTATTATTCAAATTTACACACCAACCACCAAAGACAAAGAAACTGAAGATTTTTACCAAATTCTGCAGTCTGAAATTGACCAAACATGGCAATGAAAATGTGTTGATTATCACTGGTGATTGGAATGCAAAAGTTGGAAACAAAGAAGAATCACCAGTAGTTGGAAAATATGGCCTAGGTGATAGAAATAACACTGGAGATCACATGATAGAATTTTGCAAGACCAATGACTTACTCATTGCAAATACCTTTTTCAACAACATGAACAGAGTCTGTACACATGGACTTCACCAGGTAGAGTACACAGCAATCAGATCAACTCTTATCTGTGGAAAGAGGTGATGGAGAAGCTCAATATCCAGGCCAGGAGCTGATTGTGGAACAGACCGTCACCTCCTAATATGCAAGTTCAAGTTGAAGCTGAAGACAATTAAAAGACGTCCACAAGACACAAAATATGACCTTGATTGTATACTTCCTGAATTTAGAGACCATCTAAAGAATAGATTTGATGCATTGAACACCAAGACCAAAAACCAGGGGAATTGTGGGATGACATCAAGAACATCATCCATGAAGAAAGCAAAAGGTCACTAAAAAGACAAGAAAGGAAGAAAAGACCAAAATGGATGTCAGAAGAGACTCTGAAACTTGCTCTTGAACAGAGAGTAGCTAAAGCAAATGGAAGAATCAGCAAGATAAAAGAGCTGAACAGAAGATTTCAAAGAGCAGCTCGAGAAGACAAAGTTATTATAATGACATATGCAAAGACCTGGAGTTAGATAACCCAAAGGAAAGAACATGCTTGGCATTTCTCAAGCTGAAAGAACTGAGGAAAAAATTCAAGCCTCGAGTTGCAATATTGAAAGATTCTATGGGCAAAATTTTGAATGATGCAGGAAACATCAAAAGAAGATGAAAGAAATACACAGAGTCACTGTACCAAAAAGAATTGGTCGATGTTCATCCATTTCAGGAGGTGGCATATGATCAAGAACCAATAGTATTGAAGGAAGAAGTCAAAGCTGCACTGAAGGAATTGGAGAAGAACAAGGCTCTAGGAATTGACAGAATACCCAAACAGATGCTGTACTAGAGACACTCACTCGTCTATGCCAAGAAATTTAGAAGACAGCCACCTGGCCAACTTATTAGAAGAGATCCATATTTGTACCCATTCCAAAGAAAGGTAATCCCACAAAATTGTGGAAATTATCGAACAATATCATTAGTATTACATGCAAGTAAAATTTTGCTGACAATAACTCAAAGACGCTTGCAGCAGTATATTGAAAGAGAACTTCCGGAAATGCAAGCTGGATTCAGAAAAAGACACGGAACAAGAGATATCATTGCTGATGTCAGATGGATTTTGGCTTAAAGCAAAAAATACCAGAAAGATGTTTATGTTGTATTGACTATTCAGAAGCATTCGATTGTATGGATCATAAAAAATTATGGATAATATTGAGAAGAATGGGAATTCCAGAACACTTAGTTGTGTTCATGAGAAACCTGTACATATAGACTAGGAGGCTGTCATTCAATCAGAACAAGGGAATTCTGCATGGTTTAAAATCAGGAAGGGAGTGGGTCAGGGTTGTATCCTTTCACCATACTTATTCAATCTGTATGCTGAGCAAATAATCTGAGAAACTGGACTATATGAAGAAGAGTGTGACATCCAGATCAGAGGAAGACTCATTAACAACCTGTGATATGCAGATGATACAATTTGCTTGCTGTAAATAAGGATGACTTTAAGCACTTACTGATGAAGATTAAAGACTTCAGTCTGCAGTATGGATTATACCTCAACATAAAGAAAACAAAAATCCTCACAATTGGACCAATAAGCAGCATCATGATAAATGGAGAAAAGATTGAAGTTGTTAAAGATTTCATATTACTTGGTTCCACAGTCAACACCAATGGAAGTAATAGTCAAGACATCAGATGACGTATTGCACTGGGCAAATCTACCAAAAGACCTCTTTAAAGTGCTAAAGAGCAAAAATGTCTCTTTGAAGACTAAGGTACATCTGACCCAAGCCATGGTATTTTCAGTCACCTCATATGCATGTGACAGCTGGACAAAGGATAAGGAAGACCAAAGAAGAGTTAATGCTTTTGAATTGTAGTGTTGGCAAAGAATACTGAAAGTACCATAGACTGCCAAAAGAACTAACAAATCTGTCCTGGAAGAAGTGCAGCAACCAGAACACTCCTTGGAAGCGAGACGGCCAGACGTTGTCTCACCTACTTTGGTAATGCTGTCAGAAGGGACCATTCCCTGGAGAAGGATATCATGTTTGGTAAAGTGGAGGGTCGATGAAAAAGGGAAGGCCCTCAATGAGATGGATTGACACAGTGGCTGCAACAGTGGGCTCAGGTATAGCAAGGATTGTGAGGCTGGCACAGGACCGGGCAATGTTTCGTTCTGTTGTTCATAGGGTCACTGTGAGTCGGAGCCCACTCAATGGCACCTAGCAACAACACAATCCATGAAAATCACTTGGTATAGTGCTCAGTAAATGTTAATTTATCATCATCATGGCTTTTATTTTTCTGATCTATAAAATGAGGTAGTATTAAGAAAGTCTTTGGGAATGCACAACTCTTTCAAGTATTTGAGTGAGTGTAAGGTACGCTACATCAGATCATGCAAAATACCTCTACAAGCTAAGGGTGACTTAAAAGTCATAAGACTGGTTTCCTATATGGTTTGTGAATCAATAGCATTCCTGAAATTCATTCTGAACAAGTAATAAATAACTACAAATCATACATTTATCCCATAAAGCTAAGTCTTAGCCCATCCCTTATTATTAATGATTTTTATTTACCAATTCTTCCACTTCCGTGTGAGTATTAAGTGAAACTTTCAGACTGCTTCATTCAGTATATATTTATTGGGAACTTGTAATGCATCGTCATTATAGCTATAGTAGAAATGCCAGAAAAATGTAGATGTTAAGCCAATCATCTGTTAATGTAAAAAGCATTTAACGATACCTCACTGTTCAGCAGATAGTCATGGTTACCTCCATATTTCTTTGCAAAGAATTATCTTCCTTGGTTTCACTTCCTTTCCCAACTTCCTTTGACATGGTTCCTCAAGACCTAAAATGATATCCACCCAAATCAGACAGCATTATTCTCATTGCAGCTGTTGATTCAGTGTAAGATTAACTAGTCTTGGCTTTTCTATTTAGTTCTTCCCCTCTTCTGGCCCCTAACACTTTACTAGTGTAGAGCTGAGAATCTCCACAGCCTTGCAAGTTGGAATGCTCATTCTTGATTGATCTATTTTTTTTTTCTTTACCTTATTTTAAAATGGCTGTTGATTCTTTTTCTTTAATAATTTTGACATGTCCCATGAAAGACTGCTAAAAAGCAGACTGTATCATACTTAAAATTGATTGTGTTCAATTATCTTCAAATGCTTGGTTTTTTTTTTTGTAGTTGGATATAAGTGGGTGTTTGATAAGTATTGATTGACTTTTACTTGAATAGGAGACTCAAGTGGTTTTTAAGACATCTTTATAAGCTGATTACTTGTAAGAAATAAATTGACCACTTGTCTTATGGCAGAAGCTTGTTTTTATCTGAACTAGTGTTGTTGGGAGTGGTGAGGGAAAGTACTAAGGTCTTTCAGACTACTCTAGTTCTAAGCCATCTTCTAGATCTCTAGTAAAACAACACCCAGTGCTTCCACAAATCACTAAGACTCCTGTGTTACAAAGGACTGGACATATCTGTGTCCTGGACACAAATCTGGGACTAGACTCACTTAAGTCTTGGACAGAGAGCAATTTTGTAAAATAAAGCCTGTGACAGTATCTCAAAAGTGAAGCTAAACTCTGAGCAGTCCTCAGTGTATGTTCATGTTATTTATCTATTCCCTAAAAAATAATTTATCAGATCAAAGAATGCATATACTTAAAAACATGTTAGACATCATTACTAAGAACGTCATGTATCAGAATAAGATGAGCACTTTAAAGAGCTGTGTCTGAAAAGTGGACTGTTACACACTTTATTCAGGTTCAAAAGTAGGATTATTATTACTTTTTTTTTTTTAATATCTTTCAGAGGCTGTAAATGCCAGGTAACATACTGCTTATTTTTATTTTGTTTTTTAGAATGCTGATCCTAAGTCATCCCTGAAAGGTATAAGCAACCAGCTTGGAGAAGGACCCAGTGATGGACTGCCACTTTCAAGTAGCCTTCAGTTTCTTGAAGATGAACTTGAGTCTTCTCCTCTTCCTGATCTCAGTGAGGACCAACCTTTTGACATTCTTCAGAAATCCTTGCAGGAAGCCAATATCACTGAACAGACATTGGCAGAAGAGGCATATTTGGATGCCAGTATAGGTTCCAGCCAACAGTTTGCACAAGCTCAGCTTCATCCTTCTTCATCAGCATCCTTTACTCAGGCTTCTAATGTTTCTAATTACTCAGGTCAGACGCTGCAGCATATCGGGGTGACTCACGTGCCTGTTGGAGCATCATTTGCAAGCAATACAGTAGGTGTGCAACATGGCTTTATGCAACACGTGGGGATCAGTGTTCCCAGCCAACATTTGTCTAATAGCAGTCAGATTAGTGGGTCTGGTCAAATACAGTTAATTGGATCATTTGGTAATCAGCCTTCCATGATGACTATTAATAACCTAGATGGATCTCAAATCATATTAAAGGGCAGTGGGCAGCAAGCCCCATCAAATGTAAGTGGAGGGCTGCTGGTCCACAGACAGACTCCTAATGGTAACTCCTTGTTTGGGAACTCCAATTCCAGTCCAGTAGCACAGCCTGTTACCGTTCCATTTAACAGCACAAATTTTCAAACGTCTTTACCTGTGCATAACATCATCATACAAAGGGGTCTTACACCAAATTCAAATAAAGTCCCAATTAATATCCAGCCAAAGCCTATCCAGATGGGTCAGCAGAATACATACAATGTGAACAATTTGGGAATACAGCAGCACCATGTACAACAAGGGATCTCTTTTGCCTCTGCAAGCTCCCCCCAGGGCTCAGTGGTTGGTCCACACATGTCTGTGAACATTGTAAATCAGCAGAACACAAGGAAACCAGTCACCTCACCGGCGGTGAGCAGCACTGGAGGTAGTATTGTTATTCATTCTCCCATGGGCCAGCCTCATGCACCCCAAAGTCAGTTCCTCATACCTACAAGCCTTTCTGTCAGTTCCAACTCGGTACACCATGTCCAGACCATAAATGGGCAACTTCTTCAGACTCAACCCTCTCAGCTCATTTCTGGCCAAGTGACCTCAGAGCATGTCATGTTGAACAGAAACTCTTCCAACATGCTCAGGACCAACCAACCATATTCTGGACAAATGCTTAACAACCAGAATACCGCTGTCCAGTTGGTGTCTGGGCAGACGTTTGCCACCTCTGGAAGTCCAGTGATAGTCAATCATGCTTCTCCTCAGATTGTTGGTGGGCAGATGCCCTTGCAGCAGGCATCCCCAACCGTATTACACCTGTCGCCTGGGCAGAGCAGTGTCTCCCAAGGAAGACCTGGCTTCACCACCATGCCGTCAGTGACAAGTATGGCAGGACCTAGCCGTTTCCCTGTTGTCAGCTCAACCAGCACTGCCCATCCTAGTCTTGGCTCTGCGGTTCAGTCTGGTGCTTCAGGATCAAACTTTACTGGAGATCAGTTGAGCCAGCCAAACAGGACTCCGGTACCGGTCAGTGTATCTCATCGTCTTCCAGTTTCTTCTTCCAAATCTACCAGCACCTTCAGTAACGCACCTGGAGTGGGAGCCCAGCAACAGTTCTTCTGTCAGGTAATGTTTCCTGTATCAAGTAAATATTTGGACAATTACAGAAAGAAGAGTAGAATGTGCATTCAATAGAATGTAAGTTTCATTGTAGGTTCCAAATTTATTAATTTAAAAATTTCAACTTTTGATTGCATTTTTCCTTATCTATTTATTTATTTAATCTAGCACAACATAGTTGAGAGTGAAGATTTTGGAATTAGACCTTTGGGTTTGAATCTAAGTTTTATAACATTGAGCAAGTTAGCTTACCATTCTAGGCTTACTTTTTCTCATTGGTGAAATAGGGATAATAATACTATTTATCTTGTGGAATTATTAGGAGGATTAAATGAGGTAATCCACAAGTAACACTTAGCACAATCTCTGGCAAATAGCAAATACTCAGTAAGGGCCAATGTTAATATATATACTTGATGACATGTATTGGGGGCATTTAGGACAAAAGCTGATTTTAGATTGTTTACTTACATCATATAGTAAGCCACTAGTGATGTGATTGTGGACTGGGTAGAGAGGTCATGGCTGTTTCTTAGGTGCCAACCAGAGGCTCAGGGATACAACATGACTCAATGGGTATGTGGCCTGCAGCAGAGGTAGGATACAGGGCCTCTTTCATTTAACCAGGTACATGAACCTACTCTTTCCATCCTTTGTGCAGGTATATTACTGTGGGGAATCAGTAAAACCACAGAAGTATTATATTCTTCATGAACATCTCAAGTGGTTAACAGCAAAGTCCCTATGTAGCGCAGATTGTCTGCACTTGGCTAGTAACCCAAAGGTTGCCTCTTTGAACCCATTCAGTGGTACCATAGAAGAACCAGGCCTAGTGAGCAGTTACATAAAGATTACAGCCAACCCTACTCTGAAACCTTTGAAGTCTTCCCAGATGAATACATAAACAAATGACTTACCAAGTGGGTAACAACTTCAGTCACTCACCTCCATCTGATGATCTTGGGCTCTTCCAGCTCTCAGTCCCCACTCATTCAGGGCACATTCCCTAATTAAAGCTTTTCTTACCTGGGGACCAATCCCACATCCCCATTTCTATCCCATGGTCTACCCTCCTCTGTTTGCACTGCCTTTCTCCTGCACATTTAGAAGTATTCAGAAACTTCTCTATAACATATATATCCCTCTTTTAAGATATTTATACCTTTGATTTAGTAATTTCATCAAGAATCTTAAGGAAACAAGCAAAAATTATGTATGGGCAATGATGGTCACTGTTAAGAATTTTCAGATCAAAGGTGTTTGTTAGTTTGTTTTGAAATGTCAAACTGACAGAAAAGTTAAAGTTGTAAGAACAGTGCAAAGAATTTCCATAATACCCTTCCCTGAGATTCCCCAGAGTTAACTTTTTACCACATGTGTTTTATGTCTTCTTTATCATGTGTGTACTCTCTCACTCAGTTTGTGAGAGTAAATTACAGGCAGGTTACCTCTTGACCACTAAATACTTCAGACTTCAGTTGCATATTTCCTAAAAACAAGGACTTTCCCATACATTAACCACAATGCAGTAATCATATCAGCATTATTGCACTGCTGTCGTCTAATCTGCAGGTTTATTCAGGTTTATTCAACTCTCATAGTAATATCCATTAGAGCAAAAGAGAAAAAACAAAAAATTTCTTTTGTTTTTATGGTCCAGGATCCAATCCAGTCTATCTTGTCATTTTTCCTTGGTGTTCTTTAAATCTGGAACCTTTCGTCTGTCTTTCTTTGTCTTTTATGACCTTGAGATTTTTGAAAAGTACAACCAATTATTTTGTAGAATGTCCCTCAATTTTGGGTTGGTCTGATATTTCCTTATGATTAGATTGAGGTTACACATTTTTGGCAGGATTGCCACAGAAGTCATGTATCTTCTTAGTGCTCCAGATATGGATTTGTCTCATTACTGGTGATGTTAACTTTGATCACTTGTTTAAGATGGTCTCTGCTAGGTTTCTTTTCAGTATAAAGTTACTGCAAAAAGGACATGGGGGTGGCATCCTCTGACCTCCTCTAAATTCACAAGGGGCAAACAGAATCACCATCAGCAGCCCAAGACTGATTCCTGTGACGCCAGACATGCCACCACCCTTTAATCTTTTTGCAAATTCAGACAGCAACCGTCCTTCCCACAGTACTCTTTACTTCTCTACTGGACTTGATAATTCATTTCAGTGGCCACAGAGAACTTATAGACAATACTTGTGATTATGGAGTTTATTTGGGAAGTAACAGGTTACAATTCAGGTTCAGGAATGCTCAGGATACAGTTTTTTGACCGGGACCGCCTCCCGTCTGCCACGCTCACAAGCACACCTTTTTGGCCCTTGGCCTCTCAGCCTGGCTTCCACCCTGCTTGGGCAAGTGTTGCAAAGCTCTTCTAGCTCTGCCAATAGGTGTGCCTAGGTGCAACCTACTCCACCAGCAAGGCTTCTGCCCAAAGGCACTTAGCTTTCTCACTCTGTGGGCCAGCAAGCCTGCTGCTGTCTCCTGCCAGTCTCTTGGTTCTGCTACCACTTCTGCCTATGCTGCCACCATCTCTCTGCTGTCATCTCAGCATAGGGATCTTGGGTCCAATGACACATTTGGCTCCTGGCTTTTCCCTCTTGATGGTAGTGAGATACCCCTTCTGCCTCTGGAGGGCTCATTTTAAGCCTAGCAGAATGACAAAACTGACCAATCTTCACATTAGGGTTCCAAACACCTTATTTCCATGGTCCCAATCCCACAGGGGTGCCATGTACCTTATTTACATTATTAGCAAGCTATCCAATTCCCTTGGGGGGTCCACAAGTACCTTACATACTTGTGGGTACATAGCCCCACCCAGTCATTTGGTGGGAGTCACGAAGACCATGGTTAGAAGAGCCATATTAAGTAATTGACTGTACCACAGTTACTCTTTCTCTTTGTCATTTGTAAGTATCTTATGGCAGGTACTTTGAGACTACGTAGTTATCCAGTTTCTCATCAAACTTGCACACAGTAGTTTAAATTTCCATTGATAAGTCCCGATGGAATCAGTTATTACTATCATAATTGTCAAGTAGAGATGTTCTAATTCCATCATCCATTTTACATTTATTATTGGTATTTCTACTCTAAGGAAGAGTTTTCCCTTCTCCTTCCTCTATTTATTTGTTTTTATCAATATGGACTCATAGATTCTTATTTCATTCCATGGGTTTTAAATTGTTATTATTTAATTTTGATGCTCCATTTGACCCAGATTTGCCAGTGTATGCCCTTCCAAATTGACTGCTGGACTTTCTGAGCTATTTCCATCATACTTTGATCACTTTCATTCATTTCTAGAAAGCAAGATGTTTCCTCTTCATCTTTACTTTCCCTGCCCCTGCCCTTGGAGTCAACCATTTCTTTAAAAAGCTTTGCTTCCTTCTCATGGCGAACAATATCTGGGGACCAAAATCTGAGCATTTTGTATGCTCATTGCTGCTGAGATCCTCTGCTGACAAAGCTGGGAAATATATATGTTTATATATACTCAGTGGAGCTCTGGTGGTGTAGCGTCCAAGGCATTTGACTGCTAACCAGAAGGTTGATGGTTCAAACCCACCAGCCACTCTGAGGAAGGAAGACTGGGTAGTCTACTTCTGTAAAGATTTACTGCCTCAGAAACCCAGAGGGGATCGCTATGAGTCAGAATTGACTCGATGGCAGTGAGTTTGGTTTTTTTATCTATACTTAACATCAATGCTGTGTGCTGTCAAATCAACTCTGACCTTTTAGGGCAGAGTAGAACTGCCCCATAGGGTTCCCTAGGCTGTTATCTTTGCAGGAACAGATTGCCAGGTATTTTCTCCTGCAGAGCTGCTGGTGAATTCAAACCACCAACCTTTCAGTTAGCTTAACCATTGCACCACCTGGGCTCATCTGTAACTATTTCTGTATCTGTCAATCTGTGCTAAAAACCATGAGTTTATAGTGATATTCCAGTTCTGATCCAGCACCACAGGGTTCATTCAGGCCTGTCTCTTTTCTGTACGCGTGACTCCCTTTTCTAGCATTGAGAAACCCAGCTCCACGATATATTTACTTATTTGTTCAATCTTAAATACACGGAAAGTAGGTTCAGAATTGCTAATTCATACCCCTGTGAAAAGCAGACCTATTAATTATCATTAGTGTATTGCCCAACCTTCCTTCCGAGGAAGGTTGGGCAATCCTACTTCCGTAGTGACACTGCCTCGGAAACCCAAGGAGGGGTCGCTATGAGTCGGGGCGACTCCACGGCACATAACAACAACAACAACACTGGTTTACGAAGGAGCCCCTGCTGGCTCAGTGGGTAAGCACTGTGCTGGGTAAGAACCCATCATCTGCTCCTCTGGAGAAAGATATGGTAGTCTGCTTCCATAAAGATTTACAGCATTGGGGGTGAACATTTACATTAGGTAGATACATTCCTTACAGCATCTGTTGAAGAACAAAAGGGCGGTGTTTGCAACGGAGACAGCTGGGGCTGGGGCGGGGAGTCCATGGGAGGGAAGGATGCTAGAAAGAGGTCTACAGGGAGGAAGTGGCAAGAGAGCTGTTACATTGTGAGGAATTGCAGTCAATTTCATGTAACAAAATGTATATGAACTGCTGTATGGAAAATGGATTTGCTCTGTAAACTTTCACTAATGACAATTAAAAAAAAAAAAAAGATTTACAGCCTTAGAAACCCAATGGGGCAGTTCAGTTGTTAGCCTAAGGGTTATTGTTGTTGTTAGTTAGGTGTAGCCTAAGGGTATATAGTCCAGATCCTGAGTTCACAAGATACTTGCCTTAATTCTTTTTTTTTTTTTTTTCTCCCTTGGTGTGGTTATACTCTTCCTATGACAAACAGTTCAAGTTCAGTTCATTTGTTTCTGTTTCATTTTAGAATTCTTTTCCCACCCTCCTTGTTGATTTTCTCACATTTTCTTTTGAACTAGTAAACAGTTAGCATGGTCCCCATAGCCAGGGCTACGCGGAAGATTCACCTGGAATAGTAAACT